GCAATATAATGCAGATGTTAATTCTTTAGCAAGTTTTAATTTTTGTGTCCATGACAAATCATTAGTGCTTAGATATTTGTGCAAATTGTCTTTAGTATAATCAAGAATTAACGAATAAATATTTTCTTGAGTCAAGTCTATTGTAAATTTTTAGTTTTTGAATTGAGATTAATTGAAATTAAAATAAAGATGGAGATTAAATTATGTCGTCGCAATATACCTTCAAATATTCCATAAAAATTTATAATATTTTCATGATTTTGAATTCTTTGATGATCTTGTAACTAAAATAAAAAATGATTTATTTAACGTTAGAAAAAACTTCAAAATAACAAAACAAACAAACAAAGAAAAACAAACAAAAACCTCTTAACAAATTCTTTAATTGTGTATAAATCGTTTAATTTTAAATTCAATAAAGAAAATCTTCTTTGTACTTTATTTGAATAAACTTTTTTTAATACGATATCAGGTGAGTTTTCGATTATTTTTTCTTTTGTGAATGTGTCGTAATTATTTTCAAATACAAGAAATTCATTTCTTTTAGCTTTATTCAACCATCTCAATGCTTGGTTTTCGGTTTCTATTACAGCAATCATATTTATAAGGTTATTAATTGTGGTAAAGGTTTTAGTGGATTTAGTAAATAATTGTAATGATCTTGTTGTAATTGATTACAGAATTATATATTAATTATATTAATATATAGTTCGAAGGAAATATAGAGAGAGGAGAGGTAGATAATTTCTTGGCCATTATATATTATTTTTTTTGATAATGACCTCAGCGGAATTATATTTATTTACTTTATATATACAAAAAAAATAAAGGAAAACTTTACATTGATCATGAGATTTCGGGATTTTTATTATTATTTTACTTTTAATACATGCATATTTTATTTCGGTAAATTGATTATTTGTTAATATTAATGCAAATTTAATATTTGAATAAATTTGGGTTGATTTTTTGTTGTTCACCCCAACGCCTGATAAATCTTGTGACGAATTTGGAATTGCTGATGGACAACCAATTGCGAGCTAGTATCACCATTATATGCATTTTATCGTAATAGAGATCAATTTTAGCTTAGAACCATACCCACTTTGCTTAATGAAATGCGGATCTTTTTTTTTAATTTTCCAAAAAACCCTTTTTTCTTTTTTTGTTAAAAAATTTCAATCATCTGACTTTGCATCCACCAAAAAGTTTTTTGTACATATTAATATACCATTATAAAGTCTAATATACTAAAAGTAATCCGATAAATGGAACAACTCAACCATTAAAAAAAAACGTGGACAAATAAATATAATTCTTGCATTTGAAAAAATATTTTGTGTAAAGGGATGATTGCAATACACTTGAATCTATTAGACCAAAAGAAGGTATGAATATTATTACGTCAATGGCGAATATGTTGAATGAACGAATATATCGTTTATGAATAAAAATGTTTAATTCAACGTGGAAAATACTTTTTTTCCTTAAAGTTTGTCATTTTGTCATTTAGAGATTATTTTGGTATAGAGGTGTTTGTGAACTATAAGTGAATTTTATATTATACATTACGATATAAAATACTGCTTTTAATTGTCCTTGAAGATAACGACATATTAATTAGTAATAAAAATCACCCACAGAAAAGCCCGCTATGTTGGATTCATTGAGCATATTGAATAATAACGATAATAATAATTACAATAATAATAATTATTATTATAATGATAATAATAATTATAATGATAATAATAATTATAATGACAACAATGATGGTTAATTACATAGAATATATATGCAAACAATAATGTGCGAAATAGATTCTCAATATTAATAGTTATCGGGCAAACAGCACTATTAAGCTATTTTTGGTTGCTTTGTTATTTTAGGCACAAAATGACGTCAATATGATTG